TTGATTTTGATTTTTGTTGTTTATCAGTTGTTTAGAAGTGTTTTTAGTTGAAAAATATTGGAGATTTTCCTAACATCTTTGTTATCATTTCTAATGTAGCTACTTTCTAGTCAGAAAACACATAAAAATGACTTAAATCCTTTTGAATTTATTAGGGCTGTTTTACGGCACAGGATTTGGTTTAACTTGGTAAATATTCCACACGTTCTTGAAGAGAATGTGTATTCTGCTCTTGAGTTGAGGAGTGTTCTATAAATGTCAAGCTAGATTAATAGTGTTCAAGTCTTCTGCATCCTCTTTGGTTTTCTGCCTACTCATTCTACCAGATATTGATAGAGAGGTGTTGAAATCCCTGGCTATGATTCCATATTTGTCTGTTTTTTAACACTTACGAGATATAATCCACATATTCTACAAGTCATCCCTTTAAAGTGTACAGCTAAATGTTTGTCATCACCACTCTTCAATATTAGACCATTTTATTCCCCCCACAAAAAAGCAACTCCATACTTGTTAGTAGTCACCCCCCTTGTTCCACCAATACCACCACAGCCCTAAACAACCACTAATCTGCCTTCTACCTCTATATATTTACTTATTCTGGATTTTTTATATAAATGGAATCATATAATATGTGGTCTTTTGTAATTGGCTTCTTTCACTTAGCCTGACGTTTTCAAGTTGTATCCATGTGGTAGCATGTAACATCAGAAGTTCATTCCTTTTTATTACCGAATAATAATTCCATTGTATGGATATACTACATTTTATTTGTGCATTCATCAGTTGATGGACATTTGGATTATTTTCACTTCTTGGCTATTATGCCTCTACGAACAGTGGTGTACACAAGTTTTTGTGTTATATTTTTATTTTATTTTTCTTGGGCATTTGCCTAAGTGTGGAATTGCTGGATCATATAATAACAATATGTTTTAACTTTTTGAGGAGCTGTGCTTACAGCCATTTATTAATGTGCTTATTGGCCATTTATATATCTTTCTAGAAATGTCTTTTCAGGTCCTTTGTACATTTTTCATTTGGGCTAATTTTCTTTTTTATTTATTGAGTTATAATTCTTTATACATGTATATATATATATTTTGGGGGGACACAAATACTTTATCAGATATATAATTTGCAAATTCTTATTCTATGAGTTTTCTTGTCACTTTCTTGGTACTGTTTACAGCACAGGGGTTTTTAATTTTGATATAGTCCAATTTATCTAGTTTTCTTTCATCGTTTGTGCTTTTGGTATCATATCTGACAAACCATTACCTAACCCAGGGTCACCAAGATACACTTCTACGGTTTCTTCCAGGAGTTTTAAGACACTTTCTCACTTTTCTTAAATAACCATTTCATGTCTTTTCTCTCTCCATAAACCTTCTTTGCCCTGCTGCCCCCACCCCCATCCATGACCTCAGCTTTTTGTTGAGGAAATAGAAGCATTCAGAAAGAAACGCCTCTGCTTCCAATCTTCAGATCTCTGCACCCCCTTCACTGGTGACTCTGACGAGGGTCAGCCCCTCGCCTGGGCTCTGGCTCTCCCTCCCTCCCTCCCTCCCGGACTTCACTGCTTCTGACCCCATCTTCAGTCCCTTCCTGTTTGCGTCTGCACACAAGCATGCTTTAGTGTTTCCCATCTTTTAAAAACCCTCCCTTGGCTCCAGATGTGTCTGCTTCCTTCACAGCCGAACTTCTTGGGCATTTTCTCTCACATTGCCTCCCACGTTCCACCATGAATTACTCTCTAGCTCCCTCCAGTTGCTCATGTTCCCGTGGCTCCCCTGAACAGCTTTGATCAGATCAGCAACTACCTCTCCATATTGCCGAGTTCAGGGTCACTATTTTCCTTATTCAGCCTCAGAAGAATTAGCCAGTTTGCACACCCTCCTCTGAGCTTCGTGATACCTCCCTCGTTCTCTCCTATTTCCTTTTGCCAGCTTCTCTGCTTGACTCAGTTCCAAATATTGGAGTGCCTCCAAATTAAGACCTGGACCTTCTTCCCTATCAGTACTAGGTGACCGCATCCACTTCAGTGACTTCTAAATATTTGTGTGCTGGTGACCTCCACGTGTGTACCTCCAGTTCACACGTGTTCTGTGTGCTCCACACTGGTGGCTCTAACTGCCTTTTTAATAATGGTTATCTCTAGACATCCATCCCCAAAATTAGCATGCTCTGTTCTCCACTTCTCATCTCAATAAGTGACGACACAGCCACCCATCTGCTCAGGCCCCAAATCTAGGGCTCATCCACATTCCATCACCTTCCACATCCAGTCCATCATCAAGTTCTGCCTGTTCTACCTCGGAAATGGAGCTCAAATCTGCCCCCTCTTCCCCATCTCGACTGCCTCTCCCTAATCTAAGTGACCGTTGTCTCTTGCTTCAACCGCCATGTTAGCCTCCTGTTAGTCTCCGGCCCCATCTCAGTTCATCTTCTCTAAGTGCAGTAAAAGTGTTCTTATTAAAATACGATATTCCCCTGCTTGACGTTCTTCAGTGACGTCCCATTTCCCCTGAGGGAAAATCCAGGCTCCTTGCTTTGCTCTCTAACGTGCTCCGTGATCCAGCGCCTCCAGTCCCTCCGCCCTCACCGCAGGCCACGCCCCCTCGTCACTGCCTACCGTCCACACCGGACTTCGGGCTTATGCGTGTGGTGTACTGCCGCCTCCAAGGGGCACCGTTCACCCGTGTTATCGTTGTAGCTCTGAGTATTATGACAGTTTTCCAGCAGATGGCAGTAAAGTTCGTGAGGACAGGATGGCTTTTTCTGATTCGCATGAGGTAGGTTTACATTCAGGCTAGTGTCTTCATCCCTTTTCCTTTCCCTGATACATCAAAGTCTTTTTCTCTCTGGGCCCTAGCCTTATCCTCTAAGCTTTTCTTTCTTTCTCTCTTTCTGCCTTTCAAATATTCCAAACTTAAAGAATGACAAGCATAGGACAACAGAACTCCCATAAAACCTTCGCTCCAGTTCACCAGTTCGGAACATTTGTCCACTTTTTCTTTATCCCTCCCTCCCTCCCTCTCTTTATAGATGACGTGTTTCTTCCCGAACCATTTAAGAGCTGGTCACAGACATTCTGCCCCTTCACCCCTAAATACTTTGGAGTGTATTTCTTTCTGACGAGAATTTTTTTTGTTTTGCGTAACCACAGTATACCTACCAGATTTAGGGAATTTAACATTGATACAGTACTTTTATCAGTTACATCGTCCACATTCAAATTTTGCCAGTTGTCCCAGTGATGTCTTTTATAACTCTTTTTCCCCCCTTATCCAGTGTCCAGTCTGTGATCATACTTTGCATTGATGTGTGGTCAAGTCTCCTTACCCGCTTTTAATCTGATAAAAAGTTCTTTAGTTTTTCTTCGTCTTTCACACCATTGATATTTTTTGAAAACTGTAGGCCACTTGTGTCGTCGACTATTTCTCAGTCTGGGTTTCTCTTGGTGTTTTCTCATTAGGTTCAGGTTATATGTTTTCGGCAAGAATATCATAGAAGCAATGTTGTATCCTTCTCAGGAGGCACGTCGTGTCGGTTTATCCCATTCCTAAGCATTCTGTGTTGAAACTGTTCTTGGTCCTCTAAGCAGTCTGTGTTGAAACCGTTCATGTAGCTCTGTGAACTGAGACATATACATCCTTGGACTCTGTGGGGATGGCTCTCGTGAGTAGGCAGCATTCTGTTCGGCTTTTCCATTCAGTCACGTGGCCTGAGCTGCTTACTGGTTTCCTCTGTCCTTTTCCACATCACTGTCTGGGACTCTCGGCTTCCCATCCGTGATCACGACACCTCTTCTTTCTCCTAGTAAGTCCTAGCCGCAGTGTCGGGACCAGTGATTACGCCTCAGTACAATCAGCATATCTCTAGTGTTTTCTTAGTTTCAAGTTAGGTTGCTTGGCTCTAGCAAGGTTAGGCTTCAGGGGAGAGTATTGTAGTTGAATACAGGGAAGAAATAGGTGCCAGTGGGTCAGCTGGAGTCAGATTCAAGTTCATTTTAAACTCAATCACAGTCTTCCAGGCTAACCATATTTTGATTATAGTTAAAATTGGAGTGTTTACTGTGTGTCATTTACAGTGCAAGCATTCTACATACATTAGCCTTATACATTCCTTGAAACAGCTCAGGAAATAGATGTCACTTTCTTCATTTTACAGGTTAGGAAACAAAGGTTTAGAAAGGTGAATTAGGGGAATGTAGCTAAAAATTACCAGGACTCATGCTTAGGTTTCTCCAACTCCAACGCCCTTGCTCTTCCTTGTGAGCTGAATAGCACAGAAGGAACCACAGGAGAGTTTTTGAGATCTCTTCAGATAGAACCTACACTTTTCCAGTTTGGATGTCCCCAGCCATAAGACCCACCTACCTGGGACAGTCTTCATTTATATTTATTTCCTACCAGTTACTAATAGTGTCCCCACTCATCTTAAAAAGTATGGCAGTTTAGAAAATAACATGGTTCCAGACCCATGACCCTTCTGAGTGCTCTTCAGACGAACAGAGACTGGTGTTTCATTGTAACTAACACCGATAGAGCTTGGTTTGTTTTTATTCACCACTTTCTCTGTCCCCAGCCCAATTTATACACTTCAGTTTAGCTTTGGTTTTATGTCTGTTGACCCAACTCATTTATAAGCATGATTGGCTTAGTCTAGTCATGAGTTCTAGCTTTTACCGCATTTGCTCTACCATCGTTTCTGCTGAAACATTTAAGATAAACGACACTACATTCCATTGTACTTCAGTAGCTTCCTCCAAAAAGTAAGTTCTAAGTTTTTATAAACCTGCCCAAAAACCAGAGGAACTTTTTGCAGAGTGAATCATCACCTGTGGGGTAATGTGATTTTCACTTATCAGATCTCTTGAGGAGGGACACACCTACAATTGCACGCCCTCGTAACGCTTCCCAGGCAGGCAGCCGGGGAGCAGCCCGGGCCTGTGGCCCGTGGGCGTTCGTGTGACATGTTCCCTTTTCTTTCGGCAGTGCACGATCTGATTTTCTGGCGAGATGTGAAGAAGACCGGGTTTGTCTTTGGCACCACGCTGATCGTGCTGCTTTCCCTGGCAGCTTTCAGTGTCATCAGTGTGGTTTCTTACCTCATCCTGGCTCTTCTCTCTGTCACCATCAGCTTCAGGGTCTATAAGTCTGTCATCCAAGCTGTGCAGAAGTCAGAAGAAGGCCATCCATTCAAGTGAGTTGAAGTATCACAGTAACACTCTACAGTTTAGGGAAGGGGGGGGTACACTGAGCCTGGTCAGGTATATAAAGAAGACCTGACTAAAAACCAAGAATTATCGGTACTCCTGCAGCTGAGCAGGAAACATGAACTGTAAAGCGTGAGACCATCTTAAGAAGTGACAAGTTAGGAGCCAAGAGTTTTTTGACAAACTGGAGTCTCGCTTTAAGACAAAAGAGGACTGTCTTAATATCTGATCAGGGTAGGGGACAGCGCTCAGTTGGATGGGTCCCAAGGACGGGTTTAAGCCGCCACATACTTAACTCTTAAAATGGTTTTGAAATCTTGTTATCAAGGCTGTGCTCTTGGCGATATCAGAACTCGATGTGATTATGCTCACACTAGGGTTTATTACTGATTTATTGCTGATTTCCTCGTCATGTCTCCTGTAGTTTTCTTAATACCCGTGGGCAGGGGGGTGGGGGTGGGGACAAGTCTTGATGAAGTCAGGAGGGCACGCCTTTCCAGAATCCAATGGTCAGCTTTTCTGACTGTGCTGCAATTAAATGTATTCCTCATACTTTTCTTGAAAATCTTAGCCCATAAAAAATTTTAACATTAGCAAATGACACTTTTTTAAAAAACCCTTTTATCATAGAGAAAGAAACCCTGTTGTGACCTCTTAGGACTGTGATGGAATAGGTGTCTAGCTGTGGCTGTCCTTGTATTTTCTCTTGGTGAAAATAAAAGGAATAATTTAAACTATATGTGGCATTTAAAAAGGCATTGCAAGTTAGTTTTAACAAATCAATATTAGGAATGCCAGGTGCTGTAGGCGTTAAAAAAAAATCAATAGTTGTTGAATGAATGAGTGAATAAATTTTTACTGTTTTCCACAAGCTCAGATGTCTTAGTGGGTTTTTCCCTCTTTGCATGACACTGTCGTGGATTTGTAAAATGTGTTTTGCTAAGTTGTATTAATTACAACATTAATTTCTATAACTTTCATATTTGGTAGTAAATAGAAAAGAAAAACATACCTGTTACTCTTCTGTTTTTCCTACAATAATGTAGGCTCTCTAAGGCAAAAGCAGTCTTACCTTTCCTGGTATCCCCAGCGCCTAACAGAGAGGTACTCAGTAGGCACTTGGTAAATACTGAGTGAATAAAAAAGTTACATCTCAATTCTCTAGTGTAAAGGTCCCTAACCCCTGGGCCGTGGACCAGTAGAGGTCTGTGGCCTGTTAGGGACCAGGCCACACAGCAGGTGGTGTGAGCAGCAGGCTAGCAAAGCTGCTTCTGTATTTGCCCCCACTCCCCAGCGCTAGCATCACCTCTCGGTCTCACCTCAGATCATCAGGCATTAGATTCTCAGAGGAGCGCCGGTCCCTGGTGCCAAAAAAGTTGGGGACCGCTGCCCTAGTGCATCTAAGACTAAAGCCCAGGTCTTTTTTTTTCCTATAGTTTCAGTCCTATCAAGCTCAATATCTCCACCCTCCTTTTTGTGTTTTAACAAGTATTTTATAATGCTTTCCTTATTTTGAAATGAAATTCAGAAATAATATGTCTAGAAACAATTTTAAAAATAGATCATAATTGTGATGTAAAGAAATGATAAAATAGCCATTTATAATAAAATAATATGTATTCCAGTCAATAGGTAATTGCTTGGACATGACTACACCCCAAAAAAAAAAAAAAACCTACATGTATAATCTCCAGTACAGATGTTATTTTTCCAAGATGGTGAAAAAAATCTTAGTAAAGCTTAGCATAATCAAAATACAGTTTTAGAAAATTCAGGATATGTTAAAACTGTGGGGAAAAATAACTTGTGTTTATGTGTTCTGGGCTCTCAATAATTATAAATAGGTTCACCTTCATGAATATCCTGTGAGACAGTAAAACTGATGCAGGACATAGGACAGCTTTTTATTGCTCATGACTGTCCCACACTTTGCAGGCACATCTGGCATCTGTGCCACTGAATGACAGAAGCTCCCTCATCCCATAACAGCAAGAAATGCCCCTAGAGATTTCTAAAATGTGCCCTTGGG